GTCCTTTCGTACCTGTGAAAAGTAAGAAAACCAAGATATAATCATTCATTCAGTAAATGTTTACTACATACCAATCCTGAGCAAAACACAGTCTTCAAAGACAGGAATGAACAAGACCAACAAGGTATCTGTTCTCATGGGGCTGGGGTAAGGATTCAGACAAGACAATTTCACATGGTTATAAAGACACAGTAATAATGACTAAAGAGCAAGTTGAGGTGAGAGAGATAGGCGGTTCTATTTTAGCTTGACTGGTCAGGACTGGCCTTTCTAAAAAGGAGACATTTGAAGTTAAGAGCTGAACAAGATTACCTGGAGGCAACACACTCCAGCTGAGGGAAGGACTAGTGCAGGGGTAAGCAAACTATAGCCTGTGTGCCAAACTCCGTTTGTGTAAACAAAGTTTTACTAGAACTTAGTCAGGCTCTTTTGTTTTCATATTATCTGTGTGGTGCTACAATGGCAGAAGAAACTAGTTCTTTATAGAAAAAAAATTTTGTCCATTTATAGAAAAAAAATTGTCAGTACGTGGGCCAGTAATGCAAAGGCCTAGACTGAGAACTAAAATGAAAAGGATTTGATCAATTAGACCTAACAGGTGAGGGAACCAGAAGAACTAAAAGATAAAAATCTAGATTTTTTGGCTTGAGCAATTAGGTAGACCTTTACTGAGATAAGAAGAAAGAGTAATAGGTTTGGGGGAGTAAGGAGTTCTGTAACATAAAAAGAATATTAATCTTAAGGACTTAAACCTTATTTCTCACTTCCTATAGAGGTAACTTGCTCTACAGGAAAACTCAGAAAGGTTTTAATTTTATTTTAAAATATGCCTTTGGAATCAAATCACCAAGATTTGGAATTACATCACCAAGAATCAAATCATCAAGATTTATCTTACAGTTTAGATCTTTTTATTTTTGGTTTTCTTCTTTTTTTTAAGCAGAACTGATTTTATTTGTATGCTGTAAAGAAAGCTACTTTTTTTAAAAAGAACTTTTATTCTTTATATATACATATATAAAAATATATATATATAAATAAACCCGTGCCCCCTGCAGTAGAAGTGAGGAGTCTTAAGCACTGGACCGCCAGGGAAGTGCCATATTTTGGGTTTTCTTAAATCGGATTACGTACCTGTATGCTAAGGGGGTAAAAAGTATAATTTTACTTACAGAGAGTATAAAAATCAGGTACAATCTAGTGTTTGATTAAAACTACAGTATTTACTTGCATATTTCTTTCCCCAAGAATTTCTAAGAAGGGTTAAAAACTCTTTTTTTTTCCCTCCACCTAAGATACCTTTCAAGAGTCCATAAAAGTGGTTAGAGATGCTTTGAATTCCAACTACACTGAAAAGCATTTAAACACAATTAACTTCAGCTGGCAAGAAGAGACTCTAGGAGGGTACCCTTTTCACATTACTCTCTCTTAACAATTGCACCTTCCAAACTCTTTCATATCCACCCACTTCTCTCCAGCTCTTGGCACCACCTTAATCCAAAGCAGCAACCTCACTGCCATAGCTTCCTTGCTACTAACACCAATACCTTGCTACCAACAGCTTCCTAGTCACCCTTGTCCCCTTCAATCCATTCTCTCCCAGTACAACCAACTAACTCATTAAAATACAAACCTGTTCCTCTTACTACCCTACTGAAAACGTTTCAATATCTTCCTACTGTTCTTAGGGTGAAATTCCAAAATCCTACTTATGGCCTATAAGAAAGACCCTGTATCATCCGCCTCTATCTACTTCAACAGTATCGTCTACTACTCTCCATTTTTTATTCATTATGATCCAGGTACACTGCCCTCTTTCAAGTCCTCATTCACTTACCTCTCCTTGTTAAAACTTTCTACTCATATCATGGTGGGTGTGCTCAATCAAACTGCCTGGGTTTGAAAACAAGCCCACTGCTTATGAGCAGTTCACGCTTGAGCAAGTTAACCCCCAACCTTCATTTTCTTCATACATAAGGTAGAGATAATAATAATCCTTGCCTCATAAATCTACTGTGAGGAATAAATGAGATCATAGGTGCAAAGGACTTGGTGAAGAACCTGACAGGTGACAGGTATTTGTTAACTCTTTCTTGAGTAAAGCCATAAATTGATAAATAGCTCTATGGACACACCGGGAAGAAACCATCCCTGGTAAAATATCAGCCTCCCCAAAGAAAATTATTAGTAAATATAAATATGGTACCTCTTCTAATCCTCAGTAGCTAAGAGGTATTTTAGAGATCATTCAAATCAACTTCTTTTCCTTACAAATGGAAAGACAGGGACATAGACTAGCTCAAGATTACACAATTGGTAGAGACCGATCCAGAATCCAATTCTAGGAACTCTTAGTCCAGTAGTCTGTTTACTAACAGGTATTTTTAAACTGCAAGCAACAACCATTTAGTGGTCATAAAACTAATGTGATTTTTTGAAAAATAAAATAAAATAGAAAATAGAGGATACTACAAGTAGTAAGGCTAAGTAATGTTTTTACAAGTTTCGTCTCAGTTATATACATGTATGTGGGTGTGGGTATGTCTTTACAAATGAACATAAATATAGTTATGTACGTATCTATTTTAAGGGAAGTATATATAATGGGCCTATAGCCCCCTTAAAATAGATACATATATAACTATAATCCAACATAGCAAATATAGCAGAAGAATAAAGAGGTAGGAGCATAAAGAAAGAAACCAATCACTCATTATGCATTTTGAAGTCACTGCCTAAAAAAATTCCTGATAAATGATTTTAAAAATAGGTGAGAAATATTACCTGCTAGGAGATGTGGACGTAGGGCTTGAACTTCCAACATGATGCTGGGGATATGACAAACTGACCTCCTGTGAGGCATGGCTACTTCCTAAAATGAAACAATTTGAGAAATTCTTATTGATAAAACACTTAATTTGAAATTTTGTATCCCTCAGCCCAATCACTCAGAAAAAGGTAGACATAGGCTAAAAGTGAAAACCTCAAATTTCAGTAAATTGCTTTATAGTTCATCAGAGTGAAAATTGTTAAGTGTTTAATACCAAATATACCCAAAACAAAGGGTTCCAAATAAGGTACTTTCCAATGTATAAATACCCAATCTGGCCATAATATTCTGATCCCCACACTAAATTGTAAGAATGACTACAAGGAAAGTTTCATCCTTACATGATCACACATCAAAATTTGTAAAAGTAAATGACAAAGCAGTCAGGAAAAGTATTTCCAGGAAATAATCCTTGTGCTTTTAGAGTGTGAACCCAAACTCAGTCATTTTAATAATAAGGTCTATGTTCTTTTCACAAACCCAAACTGAAATTTTAACTCTCATTTTAAAATTACAGCTTTCAAAATCCATACTGTCAATGTTACCCATTTTCAGGGATATATAAAGTTTACTATTCATAAAGCTTAAAGCATTCATCCAAAAATAGTTCTTTAAATAACAAAATTAAAAACAAAGCGGCAAACCACCTCTCTCCTAAACATCATCAGTGAACAGTTACCTGATCTAAACTGAATCTTGATGGGCCGTCCAAAAAGTTTGATTCCGTTAAGCAGATTCATGGCATAAGGGACAGATACTTCATGTTTGAAGTTCACAAACGCAAACTGCTTTGGTTTACCATCCTTATCTTTTGGAATTTTCACTTTTATTACTGGCCCAGCCTACAGACAAAAAAAGTTTTCAGAATTTCAGTAAGGCAGTTTCAGGAAAATACTCAAATTTTACAAAGTTTAAAAAATTCAAAAATGTAACCAGGGACTCTAATTTTAAAAATGGATACACTCGGATTTCCATCTCGGTTAGAGATCCTATAGATATGACCGAAAATTAGATTAACTTACTTGGAGGGAGGGAGCCCATAAGGAACCGGAAACCCAATCACCGACTGAATTTACATTTCACAGCACTTTATGACTTTAACAAGGCGACCAACATCCATCATTATCCCACTGCGTGGAAATTAACCTTTATCAAGAGTAAGAGAAAGTAGTTTTCTTGGACTAAAAATTCACTTTTGTATCGACTAATCAAACATTACCAGTTGGTGAAAGACAGAACTGGAGGGAACAGGTTTAACGCATCTTGATACAGATTTTAATACATAAACACTACAGTGCCGCTCTCCTACAGAGTATTTATGAGTCTGTCTTTGCTGCAACTTCGTAAGAAACTAGTGGAAAACGGATACTAAGAAAGAAATTGAAATAAAATTTACAAGCGGAAGATGAGAAAAGCAGGAAGAGGAAAAGCACAGCTCAACTAAGGACCCACGCGTACGAGGTCGCTTAAGAGCACAGACTCTTTACCACGTGAATGCCCGATAGAGGACCCTCCACCACCTTTAGTCGTTACTTCGGCCTGAACTAACCAGAATCCTTCTAATAAAGCGCCACGTAGCGAGCGCCTGCCTTTCTAAGCGCGACCCCCACCTCCAGCCCGCGCACCTGTCCGGTGCCGGGACGAACCGTGCCGCTTGAGCCAGGAAAGCGGGGATGGCCATTGGGCCGGGCCCTACGCGGGCCGGAAAACGAAAGGGAAAGGCTGATCCCAGCCGCTTACCTGGTGGAAAAGCTCGAAAAGGAGCTCCTCTGTCACTTTCGTTTCAAGGTTGCCCACAAAGAGAGTACGATCCGCTTCCGCTGCCGCCGCCCCCATCTCAGCATCGCCCCCTCCCGAAAAACGCCGAAGGGTCGCCGCCGACGCACCCACTGCGCACTCTCTGAAACCCCACGTCCTCGCGTTCCCAGGCGTCACAGACGTAAACGTCAACCGCGTCGGCTCTCAGCGGCGTAGACGTGCGCTGACGGACTGCGCATGCTCGGGAGGAGAGCGCTGGGTTAAGGTGGCTCCTTGATCCGCAGATGCTCAGGTGATGGCTTCCGATGAGGTCGGTCTCAGTGTTCGAGACCGGCTGGACTGATCAGTGGAGCCGCGAACAGTCTGCCTTGACCGTGGGACGTAACACAGATACTGCGGGCAGTGTTTGAAGATGGCCCTGAACTGTGTGTCCCTGTCTGCCGGCGATCGAAGAGGCCTGGTGGCCTACCGCTCTT